TACCCCGTTCATCATTTAGGGAAGCTCCATTGACAACATTTTCCGGATGTGTCTTCCTTCTCCGTCTATTATGACCAGCCAAACGTCTCCGACAGCTTCTCTTCCCTTCATCAAACTCTTGAAGAACATGGAACCTGCCCACAAGTATAAGCAAAATGAATTTGACTGGGGAAAGAAATATTGCACTAAAACACAACTACACTTAAAAATCAATATTCGACCAAACTGCATAATGTATGTAATCGAACAGACCTGCTGCACTGCTGACAGAACCGCTGCATAACATTTCCCACCAACGCTGTAGTGGCTTTGGAATGCATATCACAGACCTTATGTCGACGGTGGTACTCTTTGGCATTGCTCAAATCAGCCCTACAGTCCTCCACCTGACAAACCACACGGATCGATGTAGACCCTTCAACTTTAGTCTTCTTCCCACTTTTTGCCTCCCATTTTTCCATTTCCCCATCTGTAATAGGATACACTTGCCCACCAAGCTTCAAATTAAGCGACCCAGCTTCATTGTTTAACTCTTCATCTTCAACAACTACAACTCTCCTCCGTTTCTCCAATTCCGCCTTTCCTTTTTCCTTCCCAAAATTTATTTCACCTGAACAAGGTGACAAACTGTTAGACAAGCCCGTATTGGCATGAATTTCGGAGCTCGTAGGAAACAACTGCCTACTCCTGCAATCTGATGGCACGGAAGAATTCAGTGGAGATGCTGTAAACAAATCACCATCCCATTTCCAATCATTCAAGTCCCATTCCATACTCTTCTTCCCGACTGCCTTTAAATCCGAGGCCACTGAACCATACAATTGATGAGTCTTTCCTCCATACCTAGCCTCCATTGATCAAAACTAAGAACACCCAGAAACCGAAAATCAAAAATAAAACAATAACTCCCAGATTCCAATTCCACCCACCAAAGGCTCCCAATACACCAACCACCCTAAAACAACACAAAGATCAAAGTTTGGTCACAAGGACATAGGTTAAATTACCACTAATCCCGACAGACTGAAAACTAAGTCACCCAAACACCTCCTAATCAGCCTCACTACGCCGCCTCCATAATCCAGAAACAGTACGCCGACACATCCATGTATATCCAAACAAAAGCAACCCACATGACCAATTCAAACGTAAATTAGCTCAACAGTATTTCCAACAAGAAACCCCACAATTCCATCACTAAAAGTGTCTTAAGCTTGATAAAACAAACCCACTATAAACTCAACGATAGCCATAATCCAATAACAACAATAAAGATAGGGTTAAAGAAGATAAGAAGAAACTGAACTTGCAAGAGATTCGGTGGTAATTGGTTCGATCCGAAGACGTGTGAACTGTGTAAAATGATGATGCCGGTGATAAAGAGAGAGAGAGAGAAGAGATTTTCGGGGACGGCCACGAAAGTGAAAAGCAAATGAAGAGGAAAAAAAGGGGCGAAAGTGAAAAAAAAGTCTAGAGGAGGACTGAGATAACAACTACAATGTGTAGTTTTGTATTCAACAATAAATGCAGAGTGCATACACTTTTACTTTAATAAATTATGACTCCATCTTCAGGGAATCTATGGCCAAAGTCAGTGTCACCCTCAACAGATCTTACTGCGGTAAAAAACCTTGAAGACATCTTACTACTGATGAATTCCATTATATTTTTATTGGCAATTGAAAAGTTCATGTTGTCAAACAGATGTACTTCTGCTGGTTTATGTGTTGTTTGTTTAATGTATGTATAATGATGAATTGACATTAAACAAAACAAAACTAATTGTGCGACTAATAAAGATTAAAACTCATGGTCTCTATCGAATAAATCGATATTAACTATAGCTAGCTCATAATAATACTAGTCAAAGGTATGTTAATTTGCATATTGATAAGAGTGTTGGTACAAATTGTAGTGTTGTGGGGTGAGTGGCCTGGGAAGGAAAGGAATCAATTTGGTTTTTGGAGGACATGATGACAACGAAGGAAGGAAGGACCAGTCAAATCAAAATGAGGGCAAGAGGACCCCCACCCCCACTTTATGGAGACTTGTACCGGCAAGCTATCGATGGAGGAGCTATGAATTATGTTCAGGTGAAATAACGGAAAGTTGTATTAATCCAATTATCATTGGCTCTCTTCACCTCTGGTTGTAAAGCGTCCATTGGTGTAAAAATTTGAGAAACATGAGCTGAAAGAACTGATGAAATCTCCAAGTGTGTGTTTGATGAAATGAGCCAATTAACTTGTGCATATGACAGAGTTGGTAGGTCATGGGAATTGTATGGACAATTTAACGAGCATACTTGTTCAAGAAGACGGACTAAATACTTATAATTTTTTGTTGTTTAATTATTTAATATATATATATATATATATATACACATATATACTTTTATTATTTTTCGTGAAGAAGAAAGAGAAAGCAAATAAATAGGTTGAGGGGGGGGTGGTCCATACTAGACAGGCACACCCAACTACAATCTCACCACAGAGTCTCCTCCACTAATGCACATGGGCGTGGGTTAGGGAAGGCGGGGGGAGGTGAGAGGTGCGGTCAAGGTCAAACATCAACCAAACAAAGAACAACACCAGGCCAGGCTCACATTAAATATATATACAATTTTTTATAGTGGACATACATATATATATATATATATACACAACTAATTACCAAAACCTTAGGATGTCACGTGTTTGGAAAAAGTCATCAATTCAATGTCAAAGCAACGTTAGAGAAAAATTCATAGTATTTTTATATTATCACCCCTTCCTTTTCACTCTTTGTTTTTTGTTTTTCATCAAGAAATGAAGCTATAGAGGTCACACCCACACCCCCCACCCCACAAAAAAAAAAAAAGAAAGAAAGAAAAACTATGGATGCCCATTTGGTCAATATTGAAGACCAAAAAAAAAGGATTGAATTGAGGTGGGGTAGGGTGGGTGACCTAATAATATCTTAGCTTAAATTTGAAGATGTTACATACATATGCAAACTATCAGCGCTTACTTTGTCCATCATTTTCATCTTGGGGGTAACGGTTGAGTCATATTATAAAACATTATAGCAAAATTGAAAATTTCACCTTTATACAGAATTTGTGCATAAATATCTTAATTACTTGAATATGCTCTATAAGGAATTGTACACTAAATACTTTTGTGACTTTTACACTTGAACTGACAATAATACTTAAGGGGATCAATTGTGACATTAGTTATGATGATACCCCTAGCTGTGAGATCAGATCAGGAGGTCAGAAAAGACACGAGGAACTCAGAGAATCAGGGGTGGAGTTCTCCTTGGAGAGATCGTAGCTGAACCAACCAGAAAACAGCTAGGTGATTGCGGGAATTGGGCCCCATGCATGAAACTCTCAACCAACCAAGATTCTCTCTTAAAATCAAGGAGGATCCCATGAATAATGGGCAAAGACCTAGGTCGAAATTCCACGGAATAGGGGGCAACCTTATAAATACTATGAAACGCTTCATCGTAAGACATGAAAAAAAGAGAAAAAAACCCTAGTCAGTTTAGCACTATCTTGTATTACATTCAACTAATTAATAAAGAAGAAAAGGAGCAAGAACCTCCATTGAAGGGTGGATTAGCCGAACTCCTGAGCTGGTGAACCACTATATTTTCACTGTGTATACCCCTTAATCCCCTTAATATTTTACTGCAGCAACATACATGAGCCTTGTAGTTCTGTTCCACACTCATCTCATGTTACTTGCACCTTTTGGTCATCCACGTTGATTTACGCTACCAGTTTGGCGCCTTCTGTGGTAACGACTGTTCCTGTTACAAATAAGCTGATCTTTCTGTGACTAATGGTGTCAACACGAAACATGAGCAGAAGCCAAACAAATCCATCTCGGATTCAGGACCAGCAGGGAGCCACCAATGGCAGAAAGCTCGAGAACGTCCTAGAGACTAATCCTCCCATGGAGAATCCCCCACAAATAACGAGATGGAGGCTCTTCACCTCGTTAATCAGTGCTTGATAAAGCAAAATGAGGAGCTCTTGAAGCCCTTGCAGTGCCCACATGAGGCACGTCCAGCCCAAGAAGATTAGAACAGTCCCAACTATAGGGACCAACAACACCCTAATCCACTTAGAAAAGACAACGAAAGGGGGGAGAACAGCCAGACCTTGTGGCAGGTTTCCTAACTACCCCCTAGGAACGGGCACAATGAAGAAGTATAAAGTCAAAACTTTGAAGGTGAAAAGAATGATGTATTCCCTTATCAACAAGAGAGAATGGAGCAATATTGGGAGCAGCGCTTCAAGGGCATCCACCAGGAGCTCAGCCACATGAAGGAAGTGGTCAGGAGTAAAGCTCCAGTTACAATGGACGCCTTGGTGCAACAGACTGAATCTCCATTCACGCCTGGGGTGTTGCATTTTTCCCTCCCACCAAAGTTTAGGATGTCTCAGATAGAGTCCTTTGATGGAACCAGGGATCTCATGGACCACCTCAATACTTATAAGAACCAGATGGAATTACACGGGTATCAACATCCCATACACTGTCGAGCCTTTGCCATCACTTTGAAGGGTTCAACCTTAGTATGGTTTAACAGGCTCCCCCCAGCCTTAATCTCTTCCTTTAAAGAGCTTTCCATTTCCTTCGTATCCCACTTCATAGGGGCTCGAACCTATAGAAAGTTGAGTTATCACCTTTTGAATGTGAAAACAGGGACCACAAGAAAATCTCAGGTCGTATGTCCAAAGATTTAATTCAGAGTTGTTAAAGGTGGATGTCCCAGACGAAAAGTTTGTCATCACTGCCTTCATAGCTGGTCTAGGGGTGCAGTCTAAAGATTTGATGTTCTCCATATCAAAAAATTCCCAAGCAAGCATGGCCGAAGTGCTTGCCAAAGCGGAGAAATACATAAATGGCGAAGAAGCTCTTCTTTCTAAGGTAGGGAGCTCTTCCGCACATAGAGACAAGGGAATGGAAGAGAAAAAGAGGAATTGAAGTCCTAGGAGAGAGAGAGAAAGAAACAGATCTCCAAAGAGAGATAGATCTCCCATAAGAGACAAAGAGCGAACCCCAAAAAGAAGGGGGAATGTTAGGGACCGCTTAGGCCCCCCGTAGCCTGAACTACAGCCGAGGTATGCACCTCAGCAATATACCCCTCTCATTGCGACAGTATCCCAGATTCTATACGAGGTGCAGAACGAGAAATTCCTAAGGTGGCCTCCACGAATGAAGGCAGATCTGTCTAAAAGAGACCCTACGAAATATTGCGAGTATCATAGGGATCATGGCCATCATACCGACAATTGCTTCCAGCTAAAGAAGGAGATCGAGTTCTTGATCCAGAGGGGACAATTACGATTATTTGTCGCCCATGACAACCAGGACAAGGCTCCGCCACCACCGGCACCCCATCAACAAACCCCTGCGCAACACCAACAACCCTTAGAGGAGATCAGAGTGATATCTGGAGGATTTGCTGGCGGTGGAGAATCCAGTGCAGCCAAGAAAGCACACCTACGCAGAATCAGAGCTGGAGAAGCGCTGAAAGTACACACCATGTCCAAAATGCCTCGGCTGAGCACAACCATCACTTTCTCAGATTTAGACTTAGAAGACTGCCAGTATCCCCATGATGACCCTTTGGTCGTAAGGGTCATTGTAGCAAACCAAACTATTCATCAAGTTCTAATTGACAATGGGAACTTGGCCGACATCATTTTCGCCTCTACCTTTGACAAAATGGGCGTAGGAAGAGAGAAGCTTGAGCCAATGAATGCTCACTTGAAGGGGTTCTTAGGGGAGAGGGTGTTACCCCTAGGATTCATCCAACTCGTGCTCACTATGAGGGACCCTCTTTGTCAGGCCACCACCACTGTGAAATTCCTGATAGTTGATGCCCTTTCTGCATATAATATACTACTTGGGAGACCATCCCTCAACGCAATGAAGGCTATCCCCTCAGCATATCACCTGGTCATAAAATTTTCTACAGAAAATGGAGTTAGAATGGTCCGAAGAGACCAACGAATAGCCAGGGAGTGCTACATGGCCTCGGTGAAGCAGAAAGAGGTTGAAACTATCTAGTTAGCTGAGCCTAACATGAGGGACAAGCTGGACACTAGGCCCATACAGTCAGAAGAGCTAGAGCTAGTCCAGCTCGATGAGGAGCCCTAATATATTGTTTACGTGGGATCTAAGTTGAGCAAAGAAATGGAAGACCTACTCACCCAGTTCCTAAGGAAGAACATGGGGGTGTTCGCTTGGAAGCAAGATGACATGGAAAGCGTTGACCCCTCAATCATCACACACAAGCTAAGCGTGAATCCCATTTGTAAACCTGTTAAACAAAAGTGGAGAAGTTTTGCTCCGGAACGCCAAAAGGTAATTAACGATGAGGTTAGTAAACTCCT